GAGGGGTACGCAGGCCCCGTGCCGGAGCAGGTTCACGGGCGGGCGCTCAGTTGGTTGCCCCAGGATCCCGCCGAGGGCGAGGAGGATGAACTGGGGCTGCTGACATCTTCGAAGCGTGCCGGGGCTCTGAGCCTTCAACCCCACCTCTCTGTTCCCATCTTTGGTGGCAAAGCCAGAACACTGGGTCCCAGCAAGCCTGCAGCACCCAGGGAGGACACAAAGCCCCAGAAAGCCCAGGAGAAGGTCTATGTGACCAGGCTGCAGCCAGGGAAGCGGAAAGCCCCAGCCCAGGACCCGGTCTTCCCTGGCATCTTTCTTTACCCAAAACCTCTGAAGAAAGTCCATCTCCGCTCCAGGACCCCTCAGAAGCATCCCGTCGCCTCCAGCAAGCTCCGTGCTGTCCCTGGCCGCCGGACTCCCTGGCTCCTGAGCAACATCTCCAAGGAGAGGGGCCCTGCCCGGCAGAAGAGCACCCGTATGGGTGGCAGGAGGTGGGAACGTCCGACCAAGCTGGGGACCGCGCGGCGGGCGTTGCCCAGCCTCCTCGCCCTGGGGACCGAAGGGCTCTTCAGCAGGGAGACCCGAGAGGACACAACTCCTGCCCCGGGCAGGACTGCGGCCACCACCGATTACAACTCCTCTGAGGTGGCCCGTTCAGAGGGGACGCGTGTGACATCCTTTATGAAGATGTCAGAAACGACGGTGTCCCAGCAGGAGGAGGGAAAGGGCCAGGAGGAAGAGGAGGAGGAGGAAGAGGTGTCGGACTATAGCTATGAGACCGGGGAGCTGCAGCAGAGCTGGCTGGAGGACTCCATCAACTGGCAGAGGACGTTCAGCGTCAGCTCGGTGGACTTCGAGCTCCTGCGCTCCGACTGGAACGACCTGCGCTGCAATGTCTCGGGCAACCTGCAGCTGAGCGAGAGCGAGGTGGTCGACGTGGTGGCACAGTACATGGAGAAGCTGAACGAGAAGAACGGAGGGTAGGGAGGGAGCGGGGCGCGGGTGGGAGGCTGGGGGGATGTGCCCTCGCCCCCCTGGGCTCCTTGGGGCCGCTGAGCTGGGTGTTGGGCTCAGGCCAACCCCTCGAGCAAGGGAGCTGCGGGGAGCAGAGCTCACAGTGATGGAGCTTTCAAGTGCTTCTCCTTTCCCCACAGCATCTACACGCTGCTGAGGATCGTCAACGTGGAGAAGCGCAGGGACACGGCCCGGGGGAACCGCTACCTGCTGGAGCTGGAGCTGGCGGAGCGGGGCCAGCGGACGGTGCGGCTCTCCGAGTACGTCTACGTCCTCTTGCACCAGGGCAAGCAGGACGACAGCGCCGAGGCCCCGGCCGGGGGGACCCGCTACCTGCTGGAGCTGGAGCTGGCGGAGCGGGGCCAGCGGACGGTGCGGCTCTCCGAGTACGTCTACGTCCTCTTGCACCAGGGCAAGCAGGACGACAGCGCCGAGGCCAACCCTGAAGGGCCAGCCCTGGGGGCCACCGAGCCCCAGCCGAGCACCTGGAGCATCCTCTACGGAAAACCTGTCCTGTGCCGGCCCCTGCGGCTCAGCTGGAAGCAGGACGTCATGGTGCACTTCGTGGTACCCGGTAGGTGACAGCAGGATGCGTCGCTCTGCGGTCTCTGCTGCTGTCTCTGCCCTCAGCATCCTCCAGCGGGAGGAAGGCCACCCCTTTGCTCCCCAGCTGCATCCTCCAGGCTGGCCCACGGGGGCTGAGCTGCTCTCTTCTCACGAGATGCCGAGGTTCTCTCCCCTCGTTGGAAGGGGTGTTGGTTTGGTTGGGGAAGGGGGTGCTCCTGGGACCCCCGTGGTGAGCCTGAGGGATGTTTGTGGCTGTGTCTGGCAGTGAAGAACCAAGCCCGCTGGGTGCAGCAGTTCATCTCGGACATGGCCCGCCTGTACGGGGCGACGAAGGACGCCAACTTCAACGTCATCCTGGTGGACTTTGACAGCGATGACATGGATGTCGAGAAAGCCCTGCGGGATGCACGGCTGCCCCGGTAACCCACCCCGCACGAGCTCCGGGTCCCATCCTGCTCCCCCGAGGCTCCTTGTGGCGGGGGTCTGTGGGCTCCTCGCGGGGGAACAGGCCATCCTGGCAGTGCTCACAGGGCCTGCTGCTCCTTCCGAGCCCGGCGTGGGTCTCTGCCTCACCGGCCCTCCCCTCCTCCTGCTTTTTGGGGGTTTAAAGTTGTTTGCCACAGGAGGAGACGGGGATGCAGAAACCTCCTCTGCCTCCGTGGGGGGACCCTCGGCCTGAGTTGTAGGCACCCGACCCCCTCCCTGAGGAGGTCCCCTCTCCTTGCTCATGGTCCCTGCCCCCCTCTTGGCCGTGTCCCTTCCGGTCACCAGCACCAACCCCCTGTCCCTCCTGCTGCTTTTGGGGGTTTTAAAGTTGTTTGCCACAGGAGGAGACGGGGATGCAGAAACCTCCTCTGCCTCCGTGGGGGGACCCTCGGCCTGAGTTGTAGGCACCCGACCCCCTCCCTGAGGAGGTCCCCTCTCCTTGCTCATGGTCCCTGCCCCCCTCTTGGCCGTGTCCCTTCCGGTCACCAGCACCAACCCCCTGTCCTCTGCCATCAGCTACCAGTACCTGCGGCGCACGGGGAACTTCGAGCGCTCGGCCGGGCTGCAGGCTGGCGTGGACGTGGTCGAGGTGAGCCGGGGGAGAGGAACCAGCCCCCTCCCTGAGGAGGTCCCCTCTCCTTGCTCATGGTCCCTGCCCCCCTCTTGGCCGTGTCCCTTCCGGTCACCAGCACCAACCCCCTGTCCTCTGCCATCAGCTACCAGTACCTGCGGCGCACGGGGAACTTCGAGCGCTCGGCCGGGCTGCAGGCTGGCGTGGACGTGGTCGAGGTGAGCCGGGGGAGAGGAACCAGCTCCCGCTTGGCTGCTCTCCCGGAGCTGCTTCGCCCTGATCCCGCCGGCTGTGTCTGTCCCCTCCGCCGGACGGGCCCAGCATCGTG